CGCCGGTCGAAACATCGGTCTCCGCGTTCGAAGGACACGCGACAATGCGGACATGATTTCCATCGGGCTTGAATGCCATCCTAATTCTTCGGGGAATAATCCACCGACTCAAGTTTGTTTGCCGCCACGTTTACAGGCATTTGCTGCTTTCCGGTGTTGTGGCATCGCTTCGAGAACTTTATGACACAACATTTCTTTCTGCAAATTATATTTAGAGATATCTAGAAATATAAAGATTCGTAACCTTTCACCGTGCACTCTGTTCGAGATTCGCGTCCGATAGTTGCGCGAAATTTCGAAATTACAGTAATCTAACCAGAGGAGATTGAAATTTCCCGTGGCAGATTCATTGGGAACGCGTTAGAGAATGATATTCGTTGATGCGATGCGAAACAGTTTGGTGGCCGCGTTTCGATCCCGTGAATTACACGCGACTGTATCGCTGGTAGTCGAGAACGGCGCGGTGTTGCAAAAATACAGGATGAAAATGCAGAACAAGGAGGCAAAATCCATCTAGTGATTTCACAGGCAATTATATCGTGACGCCGCGCTGGCCTGGGTTACTCTTATTTAACGCCAATGTGCGCCGAGAGCACGCCTCAACGCCCTTGCACCGCGATCCCATTTGCGCGAAATTGTCAATGATAGAATGGCAGATTGAAAACTCCGAACATTCAGCCTCTCCCTTCCTTTCTGCTTTTTCATCTTCTACAGCGTCTCTTCGTTGTATTATTTTCAACGTTTTCATTTTAGAAAACTTTCACACTGTTCAGTTGTAAGATTTCTAATAGTTGTACAAAGAATATTTTATAAACGAAAGAATGTTTAATTAAGAAAAGCTTGACGATTATGTCAATGTCACGTTACAGAAGAAAAATCGCGTGGCTCGATGTCATGCTTGCAGAACAAACGTCCTTCGCAAACACGGGGGATCCCGTTTGGTTAGAATCGCCAGTATCGATATGTTCACGAGAGTTTCTCTAATAAATTGCACTCGAAACGTAGCCGATCCCTCGGAAGTGTCGACGGTATCACTCGGCTGTCGATTGAATCGAATGAAAAGAAAGCAGCGATAACTCGATTATCAGAGGTCCAGATAAATAGACGGTGGCCAATGCGCTTTTACCGTGAACTGCTGCTGACCACTCGAACACGTCGAATGTCCGGAAGCTGCATTACACCGGCATCCGTTTCCGTTTCTATTGTTATAGGCATGCTGGCGTTGCTTCGATACATTGTCTACACTGTTGATATTGGAGCTATTCAATTACTATGGTTTTCGCACATTCACAGTTTTGGTATTTTCGGAACTACTTCGGAACTTTGCGAATGAAAACTCCATCAAATTTCCAACGATTCGATTATCCAAGCAGATTCCCCAAAAGGTCCTCAGTCTTTCAAATTCATCGAACGAAAGTCTCCCAATCCCAACATTAAACAATCAAGCAGAAAGATCGTCTCGGAGATGTTATCGGACGGCAGTCACCCTTTTTCAGCCTCCCTGGAGGTCAACCGTGCCGTAGGATCCTTTTGACAAGGACAGAGGCCAGTCACGGGAGTCGCTTTCGGTTATGGTGTCTCTCTCGGCCGTGATATTTACGGGGTGTCGAGGCGTGGGTAACGCTGTTTGCCGCAATTTCTTGTTTCCATTAGGTTGGCCGGCCTGCGGGCTAAATTCCACCCTCTAGCTGGCCCACCTACCCTTCCTGCGGGCTGGCTTGCGCAACTTGGACGGGCGAGGGGCGTGCGGGACGTGGATGGACTCTCGGGTGAAACTAGAGGGGTTGGAGGGGTTGAATAGGGTGACGAGCAGCGATGGGTTGTGAAACGATTCGAATCGCTTTCAATATAAATATTTTATTAGACTTTACACGATGTTAGTGTCTTTGCTTTTTTATGGACACCTTCAAAGGGTTAGATTTCGAAATCTAAGGCTAGGAAGATTTTGTTTATGACATTTTCTGTTTTAGGCAGAGAGTGAAAAAAGGGAGCAAACTAATCTGCTAAAGTTTCAAGACTATTGGAATTTGAATAAAATTTAGAACGGTTCGAGTATCTGAATTGCTCGAAAACTTGCAACAGAATATCCATCACTAGCTTTAGCAGAAGCCAAATTGTGCACACTGAGAGAGGCCTTAGCTTCCACTGTGAGCGATCAAATGACGCGCGCCAGCGCCCACAATAACGGCCTCTTCACGGTTCGCTCCTATCCTATTCCCTCACACTTGCACCCCTCTGCAACGATCGAGAATCGAGGATCGACAGGCCGGAACACGATTCTCGTCACTTGATTTCGTGGGACGTTTGTCTTTCAATCGGTCCATGAAAGGGGTGGCTGTGGTGTGATTTACTGGATCAAGTTGTTAGTTGCATATTTGTATATCTTCGTCGTCAGAAAACCTTTGAAGGAGACAGGTTTATTCGATCGCCGACAATCGAATGGAACAAAAATATCTTTGAAAAACGTCACAATGT